GAGGTAGAGCAGACTTGTCTGGTGACACTGGCCCACCATATGACTGAAACTTCTAGTGACATTGTGTGGATGCTGTGTCTCCTGAGTGCTCCCAGGGATCTCTGTGCAAACCTTAATCCAAGTTATATCATGATTGTCTGGCCTTTCCACAAGTAGAATGTGAGTTTCTTGAAAGAACAAGCTATATGTTTTGGTTTATTTGCTTTCCTCATAGCTAGTGTAGTGTCTTGCACAGAGTAAATTCTTCACATATATAGAAAAAACAAAAGAAAACTTTTCATATTTAGGTTGAGAATAGAAGATTTGATCTCATTTTATTTCTTCATTGATGTCTTATTGTATTCGTTATTGACAAGAGAGAATACCTTAATGCTTCTCAGAGTATTAAAATTTAGAACAATCTAATGAGAAATTAGGCTAGAGATAAAGTCCTTGAATTATAATCTATCTCTTAGATTGTTGAAGAAAGATAAGGTCTAAACTGAAAAACAAGGAGCTTCATGAGTACAATGAAGCATGTAGCTATAGTTATTCACTTTTATTGCTGCATACTAATACACTATGAATATACTACAATTTGTCTATCTATTCTACTATTGATGAATATTTGAGTAATTCCCATCTTTAATCTATTGCGAATATTGCTTCTATGAACATTCTTATATACGCCTCACGGTACACATATGCACACAATTCTCTAAGGTGCATACCTAAGAGAAGAAAAGCTAGACCATAGGTATCACCAAAATAAGTCTATAATACCAAACTGTTTTATAAAGTGACTGGACCACTATACACTCTCACGAGGAGGATACAGGAGTTCTTGTTGCTCCACAGCTTCATCAACACTTGTTAATCCAGCCTTTTAATTTTAACCATTTAAGTGGATGTATCGTGGTATCTCACTGGGGTTTTAATGTTTATTAGCATGTTAACTAACGAGATGAAATACCTTTTCACATATTTATTGGAGATTTGTATATTTTCTTTAATGAAGGATATATTAATATGTCTTGAATTTTTTTTGCTGTTGATTAAATTATCTATTATTTTTATTTTTGATAGGAATTTAATATATATTATGTAAGACCCTTTTGACAATTATACTTGTTCTATATATTTTGTCTCATTCTTTGGAATTCCATGTTTAATCTTTATATTAAAAAATAAGACATTGATTCAGAAAATCATCCAAACACACAACTTAGTGAATTTTTTTGTGAAGCAAGGACCTTTGTATTTACTACCTGGATCTAGAAAAAGAACTTTGCAGGCCGGTAGTCCCTCTATGGGGCCCTCCCTATACAGCCCCCTCCTTCCAAATGTAATCACTATCCAAAATTTTATGTTAATCAATTCCTTAAATTTCTTTCTAGTTTTATGTGCCTTGCCAATCCGTTTGCTGAATAATGTTTTTTAGTGAAAAAAATTTCTCAATTTCAATTGATCTTTTCATTTTTAGTTAAGATTTTTATGTCCAGTTTAAATAATCTTTTCATATCCTAAGGATATTGTGAAGATATTCTTTCATATCAGCATTTAAAAGTTTTATTGATTTGCCTTTCAAATTTAGCTTTTAATACACAGAAATTGACTACGGAGGCAGGTTTTGTTTTTCCTGTATGGATATGCAGTTTTCCTAGCACAAGTTTTTGAAAAGTCTGTTGCTTTCTTACCTCCCTGCAAATCTATATTTGTCATAAAGTAACTGCCCATGTGACCTTGGGTCTTTGGGGCTCTCTCTTCCACTCTATTGGTCTATTTGTCACTTGTGCCAATACCACACTATAGCTGCATATTGAGTCTTGATATTTGGTAAAACAAATCATCTTAAGTTGTTCTACAAGACTGTCTTAAGTACTTGTAAACCCACGTAAATTTTAAGTCACCTTATAGTTTCATACACAAAAAAGGAAATTATTGGGATTTTCATTGGGATTTCTTTGAAACATATATTATTATGGGAAGAATAGACATATGTAAAACATCAAGTCTTCTAATCCCTGAAATGGCATATCTCATCGTTTACATAGTTCTTTTAAAATTATTTTAATAATGCTTTACAGTTTTCTCTGAAAAGGTTTTGTATGTCTTTTATTAAATTTATTCCTAAGGCTTTCATACTTTTGAAGCTTTAATATATGACATATTTTTAAAAATCGTACTCCGATTCTTGCTAATTTATGGGAATACAATTGATATGTTTACTTATCATGTACCCAGCAGTATATCAATTATTAATTCTAATAATTCATCTACAGATTATTTTGAATTTCTAACATACAAAATCATATAATTCATGAGACATGACCATTTTTCTTCCTTTGTTATCCTTGTGTCTCTTTTTCCTTTTCTTTTCTTAATTCATTGACTTTATAGAATAAGATGAAATAGAAGTGATGGTGGAAGGCTTTCTCGTCTTGTTACTGACTTAACCCGGGCCATTAAGTAAGATGTTTGATAGAGATTTTTCTTCAGAACATCTTCATTATTTTAAGGAACTTCCTTTTAATTCTTATTATGCTAAGAGGTTTTATTTATTCTCTGGATAGATATTAAATTTTATGAAAGGATTTTCCTGTATTAATTAAGATAATCATATGATTAATATCCTTTATTCTAACAATGTGGTAAATTACCATGATTAATTTTCAAATGTGCTAACCTTGCATTTCTGGACTAAATCCAATTTGAGTATGTATATTTGGTTTCATAATATTTTACTTAAGAGTTTTGTATCTATGTTCCTGAGTAAGATTTCAAGATTTAATTTCTATATCACGCTGGCCAAAAAAATGAATTGGGCAGTGTTTAATCTTTTTTATTCCATGGAAGATTTTGTGCAAATTTGGCATAATTTCCACCTTAAAAGTTTGGCAGAATGTGCTAGTGAAGCTAAAAGATATAGAGTTTTTTTTTTTAATGTGAAATATATTAATTGAAATTAAATTTCTTGAGAATTAAATATCTATTTCTCCCTATGTCAGTTTTAATACATATTTTATATGAATTTTCACATTTTATGTAAGTTCTCAAATTTATGTTCA